TAGTTTTGGCTGTGTAATGAATGGACAAAGTTGCTTGTGTCCGAAGAAAGTGGGGATAAGGTTTTTTAAAACACGAACTGAGAGATTCATCGAATTACAACCACTAATTGACTCCAAATTTACATATACAAACAAACATCTGTATATGTATATACACACGTGTGTGGACAGGACAACATACGTAATTGTGTTTGTATTAACCAAATATTTAGCAAGTAATTAAGATAAATGAAATTGGTTGGATTACTGAAATGACTGATGGAGTAACCAAAGTAAACCAGTATAAACCGAGATTTGACCATAATTTGACCCGTTTGACTTTATTAGAAGACCGATTTAGAAAAAAACCGACGCTGTGATCGGTTATGGATCCGGGTTCAAATGTTTGGTCTTGGACCTTTTATAAAATTTTGTTTGGAGTGATTCCATTTTACCAAGAAAAAACTTTCGAGTGATTCCGTAATTAAGAAACCCAACTTAAAAAAAGCTATAACACAAAAACAAAAATTTGTTTAAAAAAAATAATTACAATCGCAAAAGGATTACGCTGGATACAAAATTATATATTAAGAAAAAATGAGATAAATGTACGGAAAGTAGTAAATTGGAGAAAACACAAAAACAGCAGGTAGTTTATAAGCTAAAAAAAGAACCGACGAAATGTTCACAAATGCAAGAAGAAAACAGCAAGGTGTTGAAGGAGATTTTTAGTAGTAGTTTTTTTTTTACCTTAGCTATTGAAGTAGGAAAAAAAGAAAGGGACAAATGTAGTGAGAGAAAGAGCAGAGTTGTGCTAAGAGAGAGAAAGGTGTAGGGGAGGGATTGAGAGAGGCAGAGAAAGGGTTTAAATAGGAAAACTCTTTCTGGCTCTTTTCGATCATTAAAAGTTATTTACAATTTTTTAATTAAAAAATACTGATTTCTTTTTAATTAATTAACTTTTCCTCCTAACTACTTTTAATTAAAACCGTGTGTTCTCTAAGTTTTAAGTTTTTAACGTGCAAGTCAAATTCAGAAGATGACCACGCCATTCTTCTTTTCTTAATTTCGTGCTAATATTTTAGAAATTGCAATACTTTATAAGTTATATCATATGATTTTTTCATAGAAAGAAAGAAACAACTTCAAGAATAGTGTAGATTTCAACCAAAATTTTATGGTGTTAAAATATAATTAAGGTCTACGATATTATGCATAGTTCTGGATTTTAAAATTTAATACTTTAGACTTCCTTGTACATAACTAAACCTATAAAAAGTGCTATAGAAAGAGATCGATTAAGTATTTTTTTTTATGGACGAGAAAATACAACATCGAGAAAACTTAATGAGTTATTCCAATCTTGTGTCTTTAGATGAATCGAGAATCTACGGGACTAATAATGGCATTCCCTTTCTCGAGCCACCAAGCTTCTATATTATCATATTTCAAGTATAATTTATTTTGGTTGTATTTAGTCTTGGAATTTTCCCTTCGTTATGGTCCACTAATTTGGCCGCCTGAGTAATATACCTACGACTTTGAATATATTTGGATTTTGATCGTATGATATGAATTCAATTTCGGTTGCAAAGTATAAAAACTGTAAGACACCAAGTTGATTAACAATTTAACATAGATAAAACTATAGAAAGTTAACATGAATTTAAAATATATATAGATTTGCAACTATTATTTGTTTTAGTTGAAGTTCTGCAATT